TGTCACCTAATGACTGAGATCAGATTTCAGATCATGAGCTCACTATTATGTTTTTAAGATACACAGAAAACAGCATGGATTTGGGGCAAATTAGAAGTAAACAAAGCCCAAAACAAAACCCTCAGAGAATAACTTTGGATAAGATCTCAAAGTAAACAAAAGGATATTGATATAAATGTGTTTATGGGTAAAGTTCAAATTTCAGAGATTTGGGGGAAATTAGACTATTTAAAGTCAAATGAGCAGAAATGTAAATGTAGATGAATATGTAAATTCACAAATTTTTTTTTAGAGTTTTATTTCTTACTTAGAGTTTTTATGATATAAACTTCAACAGCCAAATCTACTGCCTCCAAATAGGTTTTCTGAAGACTCATTTCTCTCTTGTGGAGCTGCTGGGGAATTTGATCATCTCTGTTTTCAATTAGCAGTAAGAGATACAATAGAAATACTATATATACATGCTTTATACATACTATACCACCAAGACTGTTTGACCAAAACCCAATGGTAACTAATAATATAAAAGAAAAAGTCTACAAACAAATGTATGGAAAAAATAAATTATTTGCAAAGTTTCATTAAAATAAAAAATGTGTACACTAACTTGGCTAGGCCATGATTCTTAGTATTTTTGGAATTATTTTCCTTTTTGTGATCTGATATAATTATCCTGTGTTGCATATCTTAACTTCTGAAATTTTAGTGAGGCAAAATGAGAGGGAATTATGATAATGAGACAGGTTTTACAGGGTTGAATTCTACTGTAAGCCAATCCCTTTTGAGATATAAATGAGATTAAACAAAAAAGCAGGGAGCAATGTGATCAGAAGACTGCCGTGGAAGAAGAATCTGAAACACTTGTGTCCTTGGAATCCAGTGTCTCTGAGCTGAGAACCTCCTAGACCCAGGGGAGGATTGATGCTGAGACAAGAAGATCTACAAGGAAGATTATGGGCCCATCAATTTTGAGAGAAATCAAGAGCTCTCTCCCAGAAGCAACACAGAGAGAAAATCCTTTCTTGAGGTGGTCCTCTGAATTTCTAGCCTCCTAAACTATGAATAAATAAATACATGTCCTTTTCTCAAAGCTATCTACCAGTGGTATTTCTATTACAGCAGCATGTTGCTAGGAAAGGCTATTCCTTGGAGAAGGATATCATGCTTGGAATGGTGGGGCGTGGTGAAGGAGAGGAAGACCCTCATCCAGGCTGTATTGACACCGTGACTGCTGCAATGGGGCTCGAGTCTTTCAGAAATTGTGAAGAGTGGCACAGAATAAGGCAGGCTTCATGTCTGTTGTTTATAGGGTTGCTATGTGTCACATTCAATTCAGTGGCACCTAACAACAACAGCAGATAACTAAGACAAATGGTAATTTGGGGCTCTGAAGTGTAACATTCATTTTCTCTACTGGTAGCACTGTGCTTTGGGGTGGTTCCCACCCCCCACCCTCCCTATTTTTTTTTTTTAACTAAATCAAATAAGGAAGTGTAACCCTGGTAGTGTGACTATTAAGGTCACTGCTTCAAATCCACTCAGTGGTTCTGTGAGAGAAAGAACTGGTGATATACTCCCTTGAAGACTATTGTCTGGGAAATCTTGTTCTACTCCACCATCTGGGGGTTCCCTATGAGTCAAAATAAACTTAATGGCACATAGTAACAACAACTGCAATAAATGAAATAACCATTTTTTTCACATCTTAACATATGGTAGACAGTGTTTGCTGGAACTTCCTGTTTAAAACAAGCCTGGAAGCAGGAGTGGCATCCACTTCTGAAATGACTTCCTCAGGAAACTCTATGAACAATACTCAGGCCTTTCCTTCATAGGGTCGCTATGAGTCTTCTACAACTCAACGGCACCTAAGAACAACAACAACAACATAAAAAATTTAACTTTAACATCAAAAATTTCAAAACACCAGGCAACATCTTCTTAAATAATCCCCTGTCCTTGTTTTTTCTTGCCTTCTATTGTAATTAATGCTTTTCTTTTTTGTTTTTACTGTACCATTCAAGATTCTTCTATAGTCGTGCCAAATGGAGGGTAATGAAAAAAAATATTTATACAGCACGCACATGAAAGTGTCTCTCCTAACAGCCAGGGTCATTTTTTTTCTCCTCAGTTGGGAATTAAATGAACAGTAGTTGAGCCAACTCGGTGAATCATAAAACCTGCTAATTAGAGAGCTGAGAAGTGGTTGGTCCCTCCCATTCCCCCCTCCCTCTCCTTTGCCCTCACTCCTATTTAATTTCAGGATAAAGTTTAACCATACTGTTTGGACTCTTATAAGTGAAGGAAATGAATGCAAATATGCTCACTGGGAAGAGTTAAGAAGATTTCTTTTGTTGACTCTTTTATCATATTCATAGAGTCAATTTACATATTTGGGAATCAAAGAGCACTTTCTGCAAACAGCCCCTTGCATCCCTACAGTCCTTTCAAATGCCACATTCTGAATATGTTTTGTTTTCTTTAGGAAATGCCCAAATTATCATCTATTTTTCATGTCTGCTGTTTTTTCTCTGATGGCTTCACTATAATTTCACCTGGTAAATAATGTTGTTGTTGTTGTTATGTGCCGTTGAGTCATTTGCGACTCATAGCGACCCTATGTACAACAGCCCTAATGGTAAATAATAGGCAAAAAATATTTTCAAGAAAGATCAGCTTCTAGGGTGACAGGTGGTGTTTCAGTACCTGCTTTTATAACTGGGAAGCAGAGATTTAAAACAACCAAACAAACAAAAAACCCATCATGGCAAACACAAATCCACTGCCCAAGAGTCCAGCTGCTTCCCACTCGTGGAGACCCTTTAGGTCAGAGTGGTACTGCCCAGTAGGGTGTGTAAGACTTGAAATCTTTAGGAAAGCAGGCTGACATATCTGGCTGGTTGAGTGGCAGGTGGGTTCAAATTGCTGCCTGTTCAATGAACAACCTGGGGCCACACTCTTAAGGGTTCCTAGGCACAGCTCAAAAAACAAGCAAACAACGAAAAACAAGCTCACTGCCCTTGGACACATTCTGACTCATGACAAGCCTCAGTCAGGTTTCCAAAGTGACAATCGTTACAGGAGACTACCTCATCTTTTCCCCTGGGGCTGCTGGTGGATTTGAACTGTCAGTCTTTGGGTCTGCACCCAACACAGGGTGTACTTCACTACAAGGTCCTTAAATGTCTATTGTTTAATAGTCCAGATTTCCCACACACTGTTGGTAATCCTCTCTTGCTGGGTCTTGCTTTCACTTTTTCTGCCTGATGAAACCAGCAAGATCTTTTCCATTATTAGATAAATAGGAGAAGTTGGTCACACTTTTACTGCTTAAGACCACAGTGCTGGTTCTCTGAGAAAATGTGTTTGGTTTGTTTCCACACACCCCCCCCCCAAATTACAAAACGTTTATAATTTGTCAACTGGTTTGAAGGAAAGAGGAGGGCCTGTCCCTTAAGTATCTGGTGCTTCTCAATACTTTTACAGTCAGTCTAGTCCTCAAAGGAATTCAATTGTTTTCTTCTTTTACTAAGAGGATAAATAGATGTTATTATTTTTTTGTACTTTGCTTCATGACATCACAGCAGAAAAATTCAAGTGTGACCAAAAAGAAAAAAAAAAAAGTGACTTCTAAACGATGGTTACTAGAATTTAGCAAATGGCTCCTGAGAGTAGAAGCCAAGGTAATGACTTAAGTGAATTTAAATTAACACTGGTTTCTTTGAAACAAGATTTCACACCTAGGTCACTCTTGGTGGTGGTGGTGGCAATGCTTGTGGCCTTGAGCTGATCCTGACAAACTGTGACCAGAGTCACTGGTCGACACAGTTGTCAAGGCTCGAGACTAGTGCTTGATGAATGCAGATGACCAAGTCCAGGTTTTGATGAGTCTCTGGGTAGTCAGTGGGTTCAAACTGTCAAGACTTTTGCACTTGGTGGTGGTGTGTGCTGTGGAGCTGAACAGACCTAATGCTCACGCTCTGGTGGTTTTCAGAAATTGTTATCAGTTGAAAGGAGATTACCCACCTTTCTCCCGTGGAGCAGCTGGTGGATTTGAACTGTATGACTCTGGGTGCCTGAGGGTTGGCTGCACAACTCATTTATACCGAGGCCACCTGAGCTGTTTGCTTAGTGGGTGAGAACAAAGTATGTGCAGCACCTAAGGAAGCGATGGTGGCTTAGTGGTCAGGAGTTGCCAGGCCAAAGCTTTCCGGTTCGAACCTAACAGCTACTCTGAGTGAGAAAGACAATCTATGCATCTAAGATTTATGGCTTCAGAAAACCTGCTGGTCAGCTATGAGGGTACCTTACAAGAAGAAGGACCTTATGTTAAGATCCACTGAAAACCCTGTGGACGTTCTCTCTCCCATGACACATGGAATGGCCAGAGGTGACAATGGCAGGGGAACAGGTTCTGCATTTGTTGTCGGTGATCCTCTGAAGGTGAATCACCAGGCCTTTCATCTGCATCATCTGCATCGACATTGGGTTAGCTTTGACCCGTATCAACCTTTCCATGAGTAATAAAGCACGTCTTTGGGTTAGCCACCTAAATGATGAGTCCAGCAAATGTGTATTTTGCTCATGAATTTGGAGTAGACGTGGGTAAAGCTCATCTTCCACCGCGGTGGGAGGTAATCCCACTGGAGGCTACCGCAGTGACAGTCATTCCCCCAGTGGTGACTCAGGACCCACCGGCCTTCCGGTGGCCGCGGCTCCCCGGGGGCGGCCAGGCGGCCGGAAGGGCGCGGCCCAGGCCTAGCGGGTGCCGCGGGGGCGTGGCCTCTCGGGGGGCGTGGCCAACATGGCGGCCCCTGTCTCTCGGCGGACCTCCGCGGCGCGGCGCTGGCCCCGCCCCGGCGGGAGGGACGCTCTGTGCGCGCACGCTCTATGATGCTTGCGCGCGTCCCCCGCGCGCCGCGCCGCGGGCGGGGCGGGTCTCCGGGATTCCAAGGGCTCGGTTACGGAAGAAGCGCAGAGCCGGCTGGGGAGGGGGCTGGATGCGCGCGCACCCGGGGGGAGGCCGCTGCTGCCCGGAGCAGGAGGAGGGGGAGAGCGCGGCGGGCGGCAGCGGCGCCGGCGGCGACTCCGCCATAGAGCAGGGGGGCCAGGGCAGCGCGCTCGCTCCGTCCCCGGTGAGCGGCGTGCGCAGGGAAGGCGCTCG